TTTATTTTATTTGTTAAGGTATCGTTTTTTACTGTTTGTTCCAATAAAGCTTGTGGTGCTTTTTTACATCTACATCCGAAGTTTGTGATTTTTTTTGGTATTGCACCTACAAAGCAACAGCTGCGAACCCAGTATCCAGATCATTACTGAAAGACCCCCATTCTCCCTGCATATAAAACTTTTAGTATGAGCCAGCTTGTGGAGTGGCTCAGAACCATGTGAGTGGATCCAATAGTTTTTATCTCATAGATACAGTTTTAACTATATTACCTTATGTGTATTTTTCTTAGTTTATAGATTTAACCACTACTGTTCAGAATTTTGTAATATTTTACTTTTTTGAGTGCTCTCATCATTATTTATTGTAAACTAACTATGGTGGCATTCGCAGTTCAGTCCGTATTAGTACATAGCTAATTTCGGTTCATGTATTCTGCTTACTGTATTCGTCCCTCATTTGGCCATATCATATTTTATCATATGCAATCCAGTTAGTCACCCCACATTTTGATGTATAATAAATGCTATGCCCTAATCAGTTTTTCATATTTGCAGCCTATTATTGTCAACCCACACAGCCTTGGTTATACTTACATAGTTACATAGGCTAAAAAGAGACGTGTCCATCAAGTTCAGCCTTCCTCACATTTGTTTCTTGCTGTTGATCCAAAAGAAGGCAAAAAAAAAAAAAAACAGTTTGAAGCACTTCCAATTTTGAAACAAACTATTGAAAAAAAATCCCTCTTGACCCCAGAATGGCAGTCAGATTTATCCTTGGATCAAGAAGCTATTACCCTACAGTTGAAAAATTATATAATTGAATGTGTGGCGAAAGTGACCTAGTCACTGGTTTTTGGAGGGGCCTGTTTGCTAGCTGTCTACCCTGTGACTATTTTCCCTGTGATAAAACTTAGTTTAAATCACTGTTCGTGCCTTTTTGGATTTTTATGGCCACAGTTCGAACTTTCAAAGTGGCACTTCAAGCTCCCGAACAGTCGAAGTGGCGCTATTTGACTTTCGAACACATGGTGTTGGCCATCTTGTTTGCATGGACCAAAACCGCAAATAGACTTCAGGGGGACTTAGCCGTGAATGCCCTGGAATAATGTTCAGCATGAAAATCTCGGGGTTCACAGTCGGTCCTCCTGCAGCACTTAGCCGCGATTCTATGGAACTGTTTTGGGCATGGGACCATGGCTGCACGTGAGCAAAACTATGACTTCCATAAAATTTCTGAACCCCTGCTCTGATCTGGGTGATATCAGGGGATGTGACTTTTATGGGGATATGTTGTGTTTTGGGGGTTTCATAAAATTGTATGTTTTTCTGTGCTTGGAGATAATTGCTTTAGATTAGTAGAAACATAGAAACATAGAATGTGACGGCAGATAAGAACCATTCGGCCCATCTAGGCTACCCAATTTGTTTTAAATACTTTCATTAGTCCCTGGCCTTATCTTATAGTTAGTACAGCCTAGTGCTTATCCCACACATGCTTAAACTCCTTTACTGTGTTAACCTCTACCACTTCAACTGGAAGCCTATACCATACATCCACTACCCTCTCAGTAAAGTAATACCTGTTTTAGAGACAATCCCAGTAGAGAGTTTAGAATATGTGTCCCTGATTCAATTATCTCCAGAGCACAGAGGAGGGATTCTATTGTAACACTGTTTTTATTGATTTGTTAACTTGTGTCCTTGTCCCCAAAAAGGTCCACCTGGGTGTCACCCTTGTTGGGAAACTTGCATAAAAGGCCAATTTGCCTCCATTAAAATTGAGTTCCTGTTTTACCCTCAACATAGAGTCTAATCTATATATAACTATACTCCCCTGGGATTATAATCACTAGCTCTTTTAAGAGCTGTTCCTGCTATGCTCTCTGGAGTAGGAGAGGTTCATCCATGGGAAGCTGGATCCTGGTCTTGGGTCCAGGGTGGGTGGATTCTCAGACAAGCTGTAATGCTTGAACTGTGGACTGCAGTGCTGATGGTGTCTGGTGGAGTGCTTGAAATCCTCTGTGAGCACTAGGAGCATCCGTCGGCTGAGGGAACCAACCAGGGTACAAGAAGCTCTGTTACATTATGTTTTTGCAATTATGCATCTAGTTGTTGTTTGAACATCTTTATGTACTCTGATAAAACCACTTCTTCAGGCAAAGAATTCCATATCCTTGTTCTTACGGTAAAAAAAACTTTTCTTTGCTTTAGATTAAATCTTCTTTCTTCCAGTCTAAATGCATGACCTTGTGTCCTATGTAAAGTCTGGTTTGTGTAGAGATTTCCACACAATGGTTTGTATTGGCCCCGGATATATTTGTATAATGTTATCATATCCCCTCTGAGGTGATGTTTTTCTAAACTAAAGAGGTTTAAATTTGTTAACCTCTCTTCATAGCTAAAATGTTTCATTCATTTTATTAATTTTGTAGCCCACCTCTGCACTTTTTATAGTGCCATAATATCCTTCTTTAGAACAGGTGCCCAATATTGCACAGCATATACAAGCATCATCCTGAGAATTAATGCCTTTTTTCATGCATGACAATACCCTACTAGCCTTAGCCACTGCTGACTGACATTGCACATTGTTGCATAGTTTGTTGTCTATAACAATTCCCAATTCCTTCTCGTGTGTTGTTATCCCTTTACCCTGAAGTGCATAACTTTGCATTTTTCTACATTACATTTCATCTGCCATTTGAGTGTCAAGATTCAGATACACTGGGGGGTATCTGAATCCCTCTAAAGCAAAGTAACATCTTGATGAAACAAACACTTATACAAAGTATAAGAAAACAAGCTTCAAAACAATATGTGAGTAATATGAATAGATACCACCTGGTATAACATATACCAATCTAATATCACAGATGTAAAAAAAAAATGAAACTGCATATAGTGTAATACAGGGGAAAGGGGAGAGGGGAAGTGAGAGCACTCACGAGACGTAGAAGTATGCAGGCTTGTCTCCCCAAATGGGGTGAAAATCTGTGTGACTGTGCTTCAATTCATAGCTGCACTCACACTTCCTCTCGGTGTCCTTACATTTCTCACATGGGTATTAACGAACGTGCAGATACGTAGAATGCTCACCAGCACTCCCAGGGTTCTGCTGACGCACCCTGTGAGTCACCCAGATCTAGGTCCTTACAAATAATAATAATAATACTAATTGAATAAATCATCATATTAGTAATAGCAATATTACGTCTTATCATGATAATTACTAAAATGCAAAAGACTGCACTTCAGCAGAGAAAATATAAATTAAATGACACTGTACAGGACACTGTTTAGGACATTTTGGCAGCTGTCACTGTGTGAGATTCTATCTGAAAATATAAACAATACATTTTGAAAACATGTAGATGTAATAAGATGTAAATGAACAAGTACCAGATAAAATGATTAGACTTAAATCTTTATATTGTATATAACCCAGATTTGATTCAGCTGAAAACCTTCAGCCAGGACAGTAAAGTCATTGTGAGATCATGAGCTGTGATGTAACATAGCTGTGGTATGATCAGTGTGCAGAGAATAAGGTAATCAATTACACTCATCGGGTTTCATTGCAGCAAGGATGATGTACATTGCCTCTCTCATTCTTATAGCTCTGGCTGCCACTGAACTTAGTTCTATGCCGATTCGCTTAAACAAGGATGAAAATATTCAGGTTTCAAAAGAGGAGTTTACAGCTGATGAAGAGCACAAGAGTAATATGGATAGCTATTGCAGAGCTGAAAAGATTGTATTGGCTACATCTGCATCTGTAATATTGGTCACATTCACATTCATTTATTACTGCTTACTGTGCGACCCATATTAAATAAACACTGACAAAATCCTGAAGAACAAATGAAAACTTTAAATAGCAAAGGTGTAGGATGAGAGGTGGAGATGTCAACGACGATATACATCTGGATAATGTGAATGGTCTTGATTTTAAATAATGACATGTATTCTAATGATGTCTGATGTGTTTCTGTTAAATTGTATTAATATCAGAGTTTTATTGTTTCATTATTTTTTATTGCTTGAGAAATCAAGATGCATTAATATGGTGTTAAAATAGTTAGGGTTAATGTTATATTCTGTCTGGAAGTTATCAACATATACAGTACACAATATTGGATAATATTGGAATTAACTGATATTTAGATATAGTAGATTTCTGTCTTTTCTTTTGTAACTTCATGGAAAAGGGAGAATTGACTCGTTGATATTGGCCATTTGAATATTTATATGTTGCTACAGCATGTGCAAAATATTACAAAAACACAATCATAAAATCCCAGTGTAAACAATGCCAAAAAATTTATTTTATGTCCCCAAACTGGGTGGGCGGGGGGCATGAATAGAGCTAGGGACAGAGGCACTATAGCATTAGAAACACGTTTGTATTTGTAATGCCATATTATTCCTTTAAACATTTAAGTCTGTTAATTGTTTCAATATAAGATTTTTTTCATATTTTATATTACTGCTTTAGAAACCACATGTATTAATATATTGTTAAAATGGGTATGATTAACATCATATTCTATCTGAAAGTTTTTCAACAAACACAGCACATAATTTTGTAACTGACTGATAATTAAATATAGTAGATTTTAGATTTTATTATTGTAACTTCATGGAAAAGGGAGAATGCTGATAAATTTATATATCTTGTTGTTGTCCCTGAAAGAGACACATTTTATACTAATCGGATATCTGGAAAAATTGGAAGCTTCAATCTGAAAAAATAAAGAGTACATTTAATAAAAAGATATTATTTTTTTTCAATTAAATGTAAATGAAGAAGCTTCAGTTTAAATGTTTGGAAGTGAATCTTTATATTGTATAGAGACCTGTCCTTCACTCAATGGAAAACCTTCAGCCAGGACAGTAAAGTCATTGTGAGATCATGAGCTGTGATGTAACAAAGATGTGGGATGATCAGTGTGCAGAGTAAAGGCTATCACTGGCACTCATCGGGTTTCATTGCAGCAAGGATGACGTACATTGCATCTCTCATTCTTATAACTCTGGCTGTTACTGAGCTCAGCGCTAAACCGATTCCCTTAAACAAGGATGAAAAGTTTCAGAAGAATTCAAAGGAGGAGGAATTAACAACTGATGAAGAACAGAAGCGTAATATGGAGAACTACAGCAGATCTAAAAAGATTTTATTGGCTACATCTGCATCTGTAATATTGGTCACATTCACATTAATTTATTACTGCTTGCTGTGCCCCATATTGAAAAAACACAGTGACAAAATCCTGAAAAACAAAATGAAAACTAGCAAACGGCAAGATGAAGACGAGGTGTAGAATGAGAACTGGAGATGTTGGCAACGATATACATCTGGATAATGTGAATGGTCTTGATTTTAAATAATGACATGTATTCGAATAATGTCTCATTTTTTTCTGTTAAATTGTATCAATATAAGAGTTTTATTGATTCATATTTTTATTTTGCTTGAAAAATCAAGATGCATTAATATGGTGTTAAAATAGTTAGGATTAACGTTATATTCTGTCTGTTAGTTGTGAACATGGCATGGCTGTGATTGGCCAGTGCAGCATGTGACCCAGCCTCTTTATATAAGCTGGAGTCGCATAGCGCCGCACGCACATGAGGTCTTATTAGTGTAGGGAGAGGATGCTGCCGCTGTGAGGGACAGCTTAGGAAACAATTCTGCAAACTAGTATATTAGTGGGGTGCACTTCATATCTGAGAGTCAAATAGAAGCGTAAAATACCGCGGTTACATCGGAGTTTTAAAAAGTACATTTTTTTCGTGCTTAATAGTACATTAGTGGTATAGTACATTAGTGGGGTGCACTTCATATCTGAGAGTCAAATAAAATCGTCAAATATTGCTGTCACATTGCAGTTTTAAAACTTAAAATTTTTGGGGTGCTAAAAAGTACATTAGTGGGGTGTACTTCATATCTGAGAGTCAAATAGAAGCGTCAAATATTGCTGTCACATTACAGTTTTAAAACTTAAAATGTTTTCGGTGCTAAACTGCTAAATAGTATTTTAGTGGGGTGCACTTCATATCTGAGAGTCAAATCGAAGCACCTTATAGTGTGTTTACAGCGCAGTGGTGAACATTCTAATTTTCTGAGTGCTAATCTGCTAAATAGTACATTTTTGGGAGTGCACTTTATATCTGAGAGTCAAATTGAAGCGTCTAATAGTGTGCTTACAGCGCAGTTGTAAAAATTCTAATTTTCTTGGGTGCTAATCTGCTAAATAGTACATTTTGGGGCCTGCTCTTCATATCTGAGAGTCAAATAGAAGCGTCTAATAGTGTGCTTACAGTGCAGTGGTAAACATTCTTATTTTCTGGGTGCTAGTCTGCTAAATGGTACATTTTGGGGCCTGCTCTTAATATCTGAGAGTCCAATCGAAGCGTCTAATAGTGTGCTTACAGCGCAGTTGTAAAAATTCAAATTTTCTGGGTGCTAATCTGCTAAATGGTACATTTTTGGGCATGCCCTCATATCTGAGAGTCAAATAGAAGCGTCTAATCGTGTGCTTACAGCGCAGTGGTGAACATTCTAATTTTCTGGGTGCTAATCTGCTAAATAGTACATTTGCGGACTGCACTTTAGATCTCAGAGTCAAATCGACGCATCTAATAGTGTGCTTACAGCACAGTGGTTAACATTCTTATTTTCTGGGTGCTAATCTGCTAAATAGTACATTTTGGGGCGTGCACTTCATATCTGACAGTCAAATAGAAGCGTCTAATGGTGTGCTTACAGCGCAGTGGTAAACATTCTTATTTTCTGCGTGCTAATCTGCTAAATAGTGCATTTTGGGGCGTGCACTTCATATCTGAGAGTCAAATAGAAGCGTCTAATAGTGTGCTCACAGCACAGTGATAAACATTCTTATTTTCTGGGTGCTAAGCTGCTAAATAGTACATTTGCAGACTGCACTTCATATTTGAGAGTCCAATCGAAGCGTCTAATAGTGTGCTTACAGCACAGTTGTAAAAATTCAAATTTTCTGGGTGCTAATCTGCTAAATAGTACATTTTGGGGCATGCTCTTCATATCTGAAAGTCAAATAGAAGCGTCTAATAGTGTGCTTACAGCGCAGTGGTAAACATTCTTATTTTCTGTGTGCTAATCTGCTAAATAGTAAATTTTG